CGAAGTTGTCGTCCGATAGTACGACGTCGGACGCTTCCTTGGCTACGTCGCTGCCGGATAGGCCCATTGCGATGCCGACGTCGGCGCGGCGGAGGGAGGGCGAGTCGTTTACGCCGTCGCCGGTCTGTTGGGTGTTAGTCGAGAAAGAGAGGCATTATCAAGTTGATGATGGGAGTGGTGGGTGTGTGGTTCCTAACTTACCATGGCGCAGAACCTCTTGCGTCTGTGGAGCGCCTCGATCATCCGGACTTTGGTGTTCGGAGCGCATCGGGAAATGACTAGGGGAAGAACAGGGAGCTTGTCGACTTGGTCGTCTGTCAACGAGTCGAATTGGCTGGCAGTCATTGCCATTGATTCTGCGACGTCTGATCTGAATCGCTCCATACGACTGGGAAGTATGCCGACTTCTAGAGCAATGGCTTTTGCCGTTTCGGGGTGGTCGCCGGTCAGCATGTGTACCGATATACCTGCTTTGTGACAGCTAAGAACTGCGGGAGCCGATTCGGGTCGTGGTGGATCGTATAGGCCGATCAAACCGCGAAATATCAGGTTTGATTCTACGTCTGTCCGGTTTGCCTCGTCCCCCTTTTCCAGGGGACCTTGGAATGTCTTGCTCGCGAGCGCCAGAACCCGTAGGCCAGTGCTAGCAAGAGCTTCCGTATTCTTCATGACGTTAGCACGGAGTCTCTCATCTATATCGATTGCGTCTTGGTCATCGTGTTCGCAATATTTCGTACAGATAGCTATGACTCGCTCAACAGCGCCTTTGGTAAAAACGGAGAGCTGCTTAGTCTGACTGTTTCTGAAGATGGTGGACATGCGCTTGATTTCGGAGTCGAAAGGCAGTTCAGTGATTTCAGTCCACTCTGCATTTTTACCTTGGGTGAGCTTGAGCCTGTTCCAATCGAAGCGCGAGGCAAAAACTTGAATTGCGATCTCGGTTGGGTCGCCTCGCGCGTGCCATACTCCATTCTTTAGAGAGATAGTAGCAAGGTTAGCGAGAGATGCAACACATAAAAAATCAAACAATGCCTGCTTGCTGCTTTTTAGTAATTGAAAAGGTTGTTCAGCTAAGCTGGTCTCAAGCTCGTCTTCTCTGACGTTAATCTGCCACGGCTGGTGCGTATCGAGTAGTATCATACCAGTTGTAGGGTTAAAAGGCTCCGAAGACGTCTCAACGGTATAAGTGCCGATGGCAGGAATCCACGCTCGTCTGGCTACCATCTTGCCTTGAGTCAATGTTCCAGTCTTGTCGGAACATATATCGGTTACGGCGCCCAAAGCTTCTAGGGACTTGAGATTCCGTACTATGACATGCCGCTCTACCATACGCTTTGTTCCAGCGGCCATAGTGATAGTTAGCACGACAACCAATGAAGCGGGAATCATCGATAAACCAGTAGCAACTGCGAATATGATTACTTCTTGTCGAGAGACGAATCCGTTAACCGCTAGAACGATTATGGCGCACAAGATAGCGATACCGAAGAGGAGGATTGCCAGCTTTGATAGCTTCTGTTGGAGTGGTGTTCCTACATTGAGACCCAAAAAGCTGCCAACGGCATCTATGAATGTTAATGTATAGGCCTCCAGGTAATGGTGAAGCCTGGCGGAGCCATCAGGGTTCCGTTTGACGGGTCGTATTTTTGAACCATTTTGTCCAATCGCCGTAGCAATAGCACCGACCTCAGTGTAAGCCCCAGTAGCAAAAACTATACCTTTGGCCCGGCCTTTCGTCACCGTTGAAGAGCTAAAGGCAATATTTAGTCTGTCTCCAGGCCCTGTAGCATCATCAAACGTAGAGTTTTCGTCCTTACGGACTGGAAATGACTCCCCTGTCAGAAGCGCTTCGTTTGTTTCGAAGTTGAAGGCTTCGATGACCCTAAGGTTTAAATCAGTAACTATTACGGAGACGACTCCCTTTGGGATCAACCTACCGGATGTCAGCCGGAACAGTATCACCAGTCTTCAATTCAACTAGATCACCTATGACAACTTCAGCAGTAGGGATAACCTTAGTATCCCCGTCGCGTACGACATGAGCAGTAGGTGAGCTAAGAGAGCGAAGAGAGTCCAACGTCTTTCCGGCGGAATACTCCTGTAAAAATCCGACGATGATGTTAAGGAGTATGACCACAGTAATGACGGCGCCTTCAATATATGCCTTGATACCGTAACTGATAGCCATTGCCAGTATAAGTACCTCGAAAAAGTTTAGCACTAGTGATCCCTTCGCGTGAAAAGTCATAAGGGTTATTATACCATGGTCATCGCGTTCACAATTTGCGCAACTATGATTTTCCACACAGACACGCCATATTCACTAAGCTTATTACCAAGCTCATTCCTCCCGAGTTCATCTAGGCGTTGCCCTGCGACATTGCTTGACAAGCCATTCACGCCATCAGCGCCCAGCTCAAGAATGAGTTGCCCACAAGTTAGCGCATGAGCAGGTCGGGACAGGGACTTGTTGGCCTGTCCTGAAATATGATTTCGAGAGAAACTGCTATTCCCCTCTTCCGCCATAGTGACGAAAAAGCACAACAGCCTTAGATAAAATAGTATCAAATTTACTTTATGTGCCTAGATACCTGAGTATCGGAGAAGAAGCAGACGAATAATCATATAGATGGCTAACTTCAAAGAGAACGATGGACTTAAAAGAGATGGCAAAGAGTAAGATACTTATCTTTCTGTATTTTACGAGCCGAGCGATTTTACGAGGATAGCGAATAGCCTTACAGCTTATTTCTCTAAGGTAATTTTCGAAGTAATATATGCAAGAAATACTAGTATCATAAGATACCTGCATACGCTCTTTATAGCTGAAAAGAGTGAAACTCGGGTTATGATTGGTACTTGCCAGGGGTTTCTACTACTGTAGATAGAGGATAAACCACTCTTGGAGCCTTACAACCGTACGAAGTAGGATTTCCAGCCCTTAGGAGGACCAGGACCGAAGTGCGGCGAAGCCCAACTAATAGCGTATGCGATCACGGCCAAGACGTACGGGACAAGGCTCTGGAGAGTTGCCCTAATTACAGTCACTGCTAAACACACGTGTTTTTATTTGTTATCTTGCATCACGGCATAGCTAGTCCTGGAAACTGTTGAACGGGTATTTAGTAGTAGTATAAAGATATAATTTACTACTGTTGTATACACTGTTTAATTGCGCTACGCTGCCTTTAGAAACCGGGCTTGACCGAATAACCGAATGTATACCGAGGAATAAACTCAACCGTATGATTAAACCCAACTACTATATATCTTATATAAGTGGTAGGGTTACCTAATCCGACCAAGAATGCTCCCTATAGTATTAATGTGGGGGTTAGAATGAGGCTATCGTCGTGCACCCAAAGATATAGAATCGACCTTCTGGAACATTAGAAGATTAAAGACCAAGGATCGAGGGCCGATAAACGTTTGCATCTCTGACCTTGGCGATCGCATGCATTAACTTGTTAGGCACGCACAACCATACCCTTAAGGTCTTACCGATTCTGATTAGATATAACGACTACTATTGAAGTCCGTCCTCACATTAGGGGGGGTTTCTTTTGTAACGTTATCTTCATATTGCCCAATACTACCCCATGGGTTAATCTGTTTGTGGAGATCCGTCTTGAGTTCGGTAACCCGAGATTGGTCGAAACTGTTGTGGCACCCGAGGTATTTTGTCGTAAGCTTGTGACTAAGTTTATACCGCCGGTAATATATTGACTGGTAAGGTATAGATGACCTGTCACATTTAGGAAGGCTGTGTGGCTTGTCGCTTTAATCTTGACCATGCAGGCTCATGCACTTTCAAGTTGTTTGACGACATCTTCGACGCGGAGGCTCCCGCCTAGAAATTGTCTCATAGTTTCTCGGTCCTGTCCATCCTCGCCCTGTACGACCATCTTCAAGATGTCGCCGTCGTCATCCATTACCAGCCGTCCCGAGCGCCCATCGCTCCATTCGACACGGATTTGCTTTGCTTGTGCGTCAGCCGCGCTGATATCGGTGATTGGAACCTCCAACTCTTTAGCCTTCCCCTTCTTACTCTCTAAACCTGCCATGCTCCGTAGATCCCCGATAACGGCTGTACGATTGTGGTAGCGAACCAGCTCCCGCCTTAACCCCCGCACGAAGCTCGACAAATCTTGCCTCTTTGGCATATCGCTGTCGTCGTCGCTGGCTGCTGGTGGAGGGAGATACCGAGCCGTTAATCCAGAAAGTGGTATGCACTGGGGAACGGTATGCCGGTGGACACGCAGAAACCGGGAATTCGGGTAGGGCCGGTTTAGCATAACATAATAAGGTCGAAGGAACCGAGACTTGGACATGACTTCGAATCGTAAACCCAAAACATTACCCCCGTCTACTGCATTAGGATCCGGGTCGCGCACTTTAAAAGTCGTGATAGAAGCACATGTTCGGTAGAGACATTGCTGTTTATGGGCATTTTGCTCGTCAACTCTTGTCAACAGCTCCTGAAGCCTAGAGCTGTCATTTGACCTTTTTGAACCTGATTTCTTCGTTAAATCAGCTTGCAATATCTGAAGCGTCGAGTCTGATGTTATTAAAGTAGCAGTTTGCAACTTGAGATCTCGTTTTAGTGATTCCACTAGAAGGTATTAGCATTAACTTCATATATCATAAGACAATAATACTGAATGAACAGTTACCTTGAGCTCTCAAAGTTGCAATCTCATTGTCCAACTTCTCTGCAATGGACAGTTCTTGTGATTGTGGTTCCTCGGAAGCCATGCTTGTTTATAAGATATAAGATTGAAGATGATGCTACTATAGATATTATGAATTGCCGACATTACTGTTAATTTAACATTCAGTGAAGACGCGCCGACGCGTGTTAGTAAATGGGGATAGCGATAAGATAAGAAGATAAAGCACATGAGTGGGGAGATCTAGATCTGGGTGGGGCACTTCTAGACTAGTTATGATGATTAGTCATTTCGATCAGGGATTTACTTTTCCTTCCCACTCCATTGGGTCAAAGCTTCAGCTTCAGCTTCATTTGGACACGTCCACATATTTCCCTGCATCTGTGCTCCAAGAAGCCGCAATACTATTTAGCCATGATGGACTAACCGGGGAATAATCATATCTGGGGTTTGGCGCTTTCTCGACTTCTACCATCATTCTAACCACTCGTTACTCGTCTTATTTTTAATTCAGGGTCCACTTCGCCACGTTCCAACGCGATCCTAAAAAGGCCACGGTTTCTATTTTATTTTTATTGTTGACTTATTCGACAAGATCAAAGACTTTCCACAAATCATATACGAGAACCATATAATTAACATACTTGTACAAGTCCAACGACGCTTCTTCTACTACCAGCCATTTATCGTTCTACTGTATCACTAGAGATTTGACAAGAATACAACCGCTAGCTTTAAGCAACCGAACACTCCCACTGCCCCGCGCTAAAGTACGAATGGGTGTCGAAACTCGACGGTCGAAATCTCAGAAACGAGATAAGCTTTCGGTCTCGACGAGCGGTCGCATAAATGGTCACTCGAACGGCGACATGAGCAATATAGAGCTGCGGCGGAAAACCGCCCCGCCGCAAGAGTCAGGTCAGGTCGCGGCAAACCTCATAGGCCGTGAATCATTCTCCCTCGACGATAATATTCCGAAAACGCCCTCAGTGAACAATCATGGATTCTGGGAGCTTCCCGTGCAAGATCAGAGGAATTTTATGTTACTTGTGCTGCTATATTTCTTACAAGGTGTCCCTATGGGTCTTGCGAGTGGATCGGTACCATTCCTTCTCAAAGAGCATCTCTCGTTTGGAGAAATCGGTGTCTTCAGCTTGGCATCATATCCGTACTCGTTAAAATTGTTCTGGAGCCCGATAGTAGATGCAGTATGGAGTCCCAAAGTCGGAAGGAGAAAAAGCTGGATTCTTCCAATTCAGTTGATATCTGGATTCAGCATGTTATACCTTGGGTCCATGATTGAGGGTTTGATGGCCACGACAGGTAAGCCAGGCGGCCCGAGCATCTGGAATTTTACGGGTTGGTGGTTCTTTCTGGTTTTTATGTGCGCGACTCAGGACATCGCCGTTGATGGGTGGGCCCTCACTCTGCTGACGCCGGGAAACGTTTCTTACGCTTCGACGGCGCAGACGGTCGGTCTAACAGCCGGCCAGTTCCTATCTTACACCGTCTTCCTGGCCTTTAATTCTAGCGATTTTGCCAACCGCTATTTCCGCTCCGTGCCGTCAGAGGAGGGCCTCTTAAGCCTAGGGGGCTACTTGACCTTCTGGGGCTGGGCTTACATTGCAATCACCATTGGACTTGCGCTTCTCAAGAAGGAAGAAAAGACAAGGAATGAGGATGGTATCTGGGATGTTTACAAGATCATGTGGGATGTCTTGAAGCTACGGAATATCCAGACCATAATTATCGTCCATCTCATTTCGAAGATCGGATTTCAAGCCAACGATGCCGTGACGAACCTTAAGTTGCTAGAAAAGGGATTTGGCAAAGAAAATCTGGCGCTGACGGTCCTCATTGACTTTCCTTTCGAGATAGGCCTGGGTTATTATGCCGGCAAGTGGTCTCAGGAGTATACACCCATGCGCCTCTGGTGCTGGGGCTTCGTGGGTCGACTGATCGCTGCTATCTTTGCTCAGGTCACCGTCAGTGTTTTCCCAGCTGGTGGCGTCCAGCCTTGGTATCTTCTTCTCGTCATTGGCGAGCACGTCTTCTCGACGTTTACTTCAACCATCATGTTCGTTGCTGTTTCTGCATTCCACGCTCGGGTTGCCGATCCTGTAATCGGCGGAACTTATATGACCTTGCTTGCTACGTAAGTACTATGTCCCAAATCACAGTCAATCTTAGCTAACATTCAATATCAGGGTTTCCAATCTTGGTGGTACATTCCCTAGATATTTCGTCTTAGGTCTAGTGGATACCTTTACACAGGCCACATGCCGTCCCTCGACACAGAAGCTTGATAGCTCGGCGCTCAGGGGGCCGCTTGTAACGCAAGAGTTCTCCTGCGCCGTTCAAGCCGAGAGAGAGCGATGCGAGCACGGCGGTGGTACGTGCGAGACCCTACATGACGGATTTTATATTGTGAACGTCCTCTGCGTCATCGTAGGAGTGTTGACTTTCACTCTGTATATCAGAAAGAGGGTTCTGGTACTGCAAACTCTACCATTAAGGGCGTGGAGGTTGGCTGGATCTCGGTAACGGGATATTAGTGAGCATGTAGTCTATATGTACAATATGGATAGGAAATAGAAATATTGTCAAACATCGTTAGTGGTCGCAATCTTAGCTTGTTTTTTGGGCGTAGGCGTATTTGCAACCAAGGTGAACATCAGGGCTTACCATTATCTAGTGGTCAGTAATAAAATCTTTGACTAGTTCAGCTATTGGCATCTAGTACATATATTATGGATTTCGTAGTAGATCATTCCAGGTTAGGTGACAGACGAAATGGGTGGGTGTTCAACAATAGAGTGGAATTGCTTGGGTGAATATTCCCCAAATCGGATTGAAAGAAGTCGTTGATTGGCCGGAGTTTGGCGCAGGCGCAGGCGCATCTTTATCTTATTACCATATAAAAGTACCAATGGCGATAATGGAATGCTATGTAAGATACAATGAAATAGGTACCCTAAGCCAGCCATATTGTTCGTTCGACGTCCATACAAAGATGACCCGGCTCTACAATAACCTAGTTCGTTCTTTTCAATATTGTTCACCGCCGAACAATGATGCTGAAATATAGGCTTTCATTAGGAGGACAAGGTTGTTTAATAGGTAAGAAGACATTGTTTGGTTAGAGTCAAGTATAAATACTAAATAAAATATCCCTCTCCCCTTATCCATATGAATGAGCTCAAACTTGGATCTTATTCAAATAATTTTCTAACGATATTACCATCCACGAACGTAAACATCATTACATTCCATCATGGAGAATTCCAACATAAGCGTGTCTGAGTTGAGTGTAACTCTCCCCAGAATCTGTGAGGACTGCGAAGCATTCATAACAGATGACCTTCTTCCTAGTATCGTGCTCTACTATTTCAGCCCTACAGGCTTCTTCGAGGAGAGATATAGGGATGTCGATATCCAATGTACAGAATGTCAGTTGGCCGACCTCTGCGGCGTCCGCGATGCCCTCTCGGCGGTTTACGATGCGCCCCCAGAGATGTTTACCGTAGAGATGTTCAAGAAGTTAATCAGTGACCTCTATACTTTCGGCGCATTCAATTACCCCGAGACGTGGCATAGTCTCCCATCTATCGTCTGGAAATGGAGGCATCGTGTCCATCTTGAGACCTTATTCAACCAGATCGAGTTGTGCCTAGGTAAGGACTGGGCCATCAAGTTCTTTCGGTACGCGGCAGACGTTGCGTTCCTTGCCGCGGACAGCATTTTGATCAGCCTCCAACACTCGCCGCCAGGGGGTGGTAATGTTGAGGCTTTAAGACAAGCCATCGCAGACATCCGCAAATCTATGATTGACTCCATTCAAGGCCCAGAGGGCTTACAGTCGATTTTTGCCTACATAGAAGGGCTGTTTGAGGCGAACGGGTATGGGCGTGACTTAGAAGGCCCGGTAACCGAGGTGAGTCCTCCTAATGGCGATAATGGTACGAGCCTAAAGGACGGCCAAAGCCTCGCCAGCCAAAAAACGGTTGATGGTCGCTAGGCGTGGCCATCGCTTTTGCTGGAGGTTTAATGGCGCTTCCTCATGAGTATTTTTAATGTCGTATTTGAGCCGCCTTGATACATACATTATAGCAGACTGAAGCTTGGATATAACGTATCATAGCCAATTCTCATTACCATGGGTTCTAATATCTAATTTCACCTTAAAGACTCTCTTCATTATCCTAGGGACACATAGACATAGTTACATAGCATAATAGAGATTCTAAAAAGTCCTTCGCAAAATCCGATCTTGTGTTTTCCAACCCTGTGCTAAGCATGCTGGCTCATAACCAATAACTGTCAAATTATTTGCATTTTACTCTCACGTTTGTAGACTCTACTCTAGTTTGATACTAAGCGTATAACTTCACGGACAGTCAATCACAAATAGTAGGCGCATCGTACTCCTTTCAGTAATGATTTTATTTTATTTAACTAGGTACCTAATGAGGCGAACCTACCTGGGACTGTGATCCTGTACGATAGATTCCACAAGAATTGAGGGCATTCCTAGAATCCACGGTTTATTCATTAGACCCTAATACGAACCTGTCCACCAAGGCAAGATGGCCGAGTTGGTTATGGCGTGAGGTTAAGGTCACCTTAATTCCAAAATCCTCATGGAGCAATCCGCGTGGGTTCAAGTCCCACTCTTGTCAAAAACTTTTTGTGGTGGTTTTTTGGTCTTTCGTACTAGTGATGGGCACTAGTATTCGCGCACTTCCAGTATAAATAAATAACGGATCGCTGTATCTTATTATACCTTTTTACCTAGAAAACCAACATTAAGTATGTACTTCAAATGCGACATGTGCGCTCTTACGAGAAAATTACAGGCTCAACCACGAAATTAACTGATGTCAGTAACGGGAAAACTCGCTGCAAAAAAGATAGATTCTGGTTACAAGAACGAAGTTCCACAGAGTTGTCTAATATCATTTAGTGGGATTTTTCTTCTTCAGCGGTATCAATATTATTTACTATTCTTTTCACTCAAATATGCGTATGGACATGTAACTACTACCATAGTACCATCAAGATCCTAACTCATATCCCAAACTCATCGCTTACCAAATCAATGGACATAACTGTCGGATGGTATTGAAAACAGAAGCTGCGCAGACATGTTCTGCATATGAGCAGCCAGTACTCATAGATCCGAAGTGCTCCATTCGTCCCAGCCCTTCTTCTCACCAGGTAGTCTCACACTTTCCCACTCCTTCCTGGTGACATTCTTCCACTCATCGACAGGGATCCAGCCGATATAGGCTCTGTCGCCAAAGCCACCAATCCAGTAGATTTGCGTAACGACAAGTCTCACGAACTCGGACTCGTGAATCTCATTCCCGGGGAGCCAGTACTTGCTGTCGGGATGCGTATCTACGAAGCACGATGACAATGCCTTAGCATCAGCCGAATCAATCTTCTCTATATAGCCCAGCAGGCTGTAACGCGGAAGATTGACAGCGCTGTACGGCACTCTGTCCTTGGTGTCGGCATCACGTCCAAACAGCCAGTCGAAGAAGGTGGATTTGATGCGCTTGTCTGGTGGGTATGGGGGAGTCCATTCCTGGGCTAGACTGATGTTGGAACCGCTGTCCACATTCCTGAAGGTAGTCCCGATCTTAATAGCCAGGATGGTAGGGTTGCCCTCCTCCTCACAATCCGCTACGTACTCCATCAGTCCGAGAGGCACGCCGCCGAGGCCATCTGGCTGGCGTCCGCGGGACGAGTCCGGGAAGACTGTGGCGAGAGTGCCAAGTGGAGTAAGAGCTAGGATGCGTCGACCGAGCACGGCAGACTCATACGAAGTCGGAATCCGATAATTTGATTCCGAGGCGGGAGGGTTGCTGAGGATGTACTGCGGCTCCGAGGTAGGTTCCGCTACGCAGGAACGCGCAGCTAGAGAGACGAAAGGCAAGCTACGTAGGAACCTCATTGCGAAAGAGTGTGTACGTATAAGTGCGTAGGGGCCGTGCAGCTAGACTTCGGCAAGGACGGGTAGGGCGTTAGAGTACAAGGAAAGAGGATGTTTTTAAGTTTAGTTATAAAGCTCCAAGGTTACAAGATATTAAAGTTAGAGCTGAAATTACATTTCCATACCGTCTGTTTGATGGCGTTTAGCGGTCTGTCCCAGAGCTCATCAAACGGGATGAAGATGAGGCCAGTGGCAGAGTGGCCGGTCACCGGTCTGAAGTCAAACGATCCCATGTGAAATGATGCGTCGAGTGGGTCACTTGCCGTCTGGGGCTTACCTTAATGCGATTAGTCGCACTTGAACTAGACAGGGTACCTGAACTTACCTGAACTTACCTATCCCCGCTAAAATCTACAATACCGCTGTACCGATAAATACCCGCGGAATCTTGCCTCATCCGGGTTATGCAATAAACTTTGATTTGACGCGGGGCTTTCGGAGATGCAGCTAAGGCGTAGTCACATGACCAGGGTTTACTTAGCCCTTTATGGAAATTTTGACGAAGCCAGACTCAGTTCGGTGTGACTCTTTCCACTCCAAACCCTCACAACATCATTCTGAGTGCCAAGACTTGCGAATTCATCAGCAAAACCCGCCCACATCGACCCATTTCTTCCACTCTTACCAACTTCATCGACTTCCAAACAATCTACAGCACAATCTTTCAAGATGGGAAAAGTTCACGGATCTCTCGCCCGTGCCGGTACGTTATTCCGATTGAAATGCTGATGCATGTTATTTATGATGCGAGATGGAAATATACTGACAATATCTTGCAGGTAAGGTCAAGTCTCAGACCCCTAAGGTTAGTTCATCCAGTATTCCGAAAATTCCATCCTTGCGATCAGCGATCAAGGAGCGCGCGTACGATTTAAGCAATTCGTGTCGTCAACCGTAACCGATTATTCGAATATCTAGCGACTCGCAGCAAAATAATCTACAATTTGCCACTTGCTTTGTCGAAAATACCACGTCAACCGAACCTTCCGAAGAGGGACTACATCGTCTGCTATCCTAATGCGCGCGCTTCTTTCATCGAATACGCACTTGCTTTAGACATGATCATCAAGGATAAAGTAGTACGGGAAACTAACAACATTAAAACAGGTCGAGAAGCAAGAGAAGCCCAAGACCCCTAAGGGCCGCGCCAAGAAGAGACTCACATACACCCGCCGTTTCGTCAACGTCACCCTGACTGGTGGCAAGCGAAAGGTGCGCATCTTTTTCCAAACCAGATCCATCTGGATTCTATACTAACACCTTAGTAGATGAACCCCAACCCTGGCACATAAGCGCAACGCAGCGCCCACCCTCTTGAGGGCAGCCCGTGTCGTACTCGGGAGGATTCGGAAGGCGATGGACGAGCAGACATTCGACAGGGTCTAGCTCTGAGCGTCCACCTCTTTTACGTATGGCAGGCAAGCACACTCTGCTCTATTATGATCGGAAGTGAATGGATGAAACGGAGGTTACGGATGCATACGGATTTGCATCTTTCGTTAGGGAGTCATACGGCATCATCGTTCTGGCTTGGTCTTGGTCATTACCCACAGGCCTCTCGTCTGTACTTACGCAGGTATCGCCTGGAAAAGGCAGAAATACAGGGGACAGTAATTTTCTCTGCAAAGCTCGTTGTTGGTAAAAGTGATTGTGATTGTCTATACGTATTACTAGGATATACTGGCGGACGTAAATCATGCTAGCTGTATCTATTATTTTTCTCTGGATTGTCATACCCTTAACGTATGAACAGCCTAGTAATGAAATATATGACCATCGAGTTGGCTGCCAACGGTTTTCTACGAAATAAGATAAAAGGATATTGTCATGAATGCGATACAGGCCTTCCTTCTAGATGCCATATGACCGTGGTATGCTTTATAACGAAAGCATGCCGAGATATGTAAAATAGCCACTTATCTATTAGCAAATAACATCTTTATATTACACGATTACTGATGTCTTATCCCGGCCAACAGTGTCCGACACCGAGTCTTTTAAATACCCCTTTAGCCTAGAGGCGGGACTGAGGAAATTTGGTGATTTCTCCCCTTCGTCGTCTATTTAGACTCCTACTTCCTTTATATACGTATAGAATACTAGTACTTATTCGGGATACTTTCCCCTGGTGTGCTCTACCGCTATAGAGCTAACAGGTACCAGACATGGTAAACATGTATGAAGACAACTATCTCTAGAAAGAAGATGAATATTTACAGGTTTAGCTATTGACATGCTCACTGGGATCTTAGAGATATGTCTGACTCTTCCACTTCTGCCCAAATATTAGCCTTGGTTGATATTGTGGTGGTATTATTATTATGTTTAACTTAAGAACAAGTTATCATGCTTCCTTCAAGCTTATCTGCACCTGGGTATATAAGCTAAGGTAATTCCTCTAGGACATATAAGTCCTATGATGATACCCTAGTTAACCTAGATGTTATACTTGAGAAATAGGCTTGAGGCAATAAGCAACATTTTGATATATGTGCTCCAATTAGACCTAGGTCTAGGCATATCAAACTTCTTTACCACTCGGCAAGATTCTAACTATATCAGAATGTTAGCAAGCGACTTAGTAGATCATTCAAGTATAAAGGAACCCTACTCTTAGAAATGCCCCTTGATAGACGTGATGATACTCCGTATTAAATAATCGTGTTAATATTTCCCCTTAACTAGATACGTACTAGTAATAGTTCTGCCTTCGTATTATTATACTTGAATACCCTTAAACATATTGCCTGGCTTCGAATAATCACAACTCTAAGATTCCAATAACACGTAGAAACGAACAAAAACCTAACACGGATAAAAATAGCAAAGCTGCAAGTACTAAAAGGTACTCGCCCTAGCTATCCTCGATATCACATGCAAACACCTTAAACAGACAGCAAACTACATACACTTCAGCTACACTAGCCTACAAGCCCGGCAGACAGACAAGCCGAGCTAAGAATATCCTTCCCTCACCCCCTCGACACGAATCCAGCTTACCATCGGCTTGAGCCTCTTAAGCACCAAGGACGAAGTAAACAAAGAAAAGCAGAGAAACAGCTATCCCCCCTAACCAAGCTTTGATCTCTAAGAAAGAACAAAGACCAAACCAAGCCATGCATGGAATGCCCAACACCACTTAAGTATCCCTTACCTCCCCAAGAACCCCTATATCTAACTTAACATAACCTAGCTTGTTTAGGTACCTAAGGTACCCGTTACCTGACAAACAAGCCGGGCCGGGAAGAACAGGGGCACGTCTTATAGTTCCTAATCCTAATACATTCTGCCCCAAACCTGGATTTATATGCCCAAGGAGGTATTTTAGCTAGCAAAGGGAGAGATGTATGAAAGGAATATGCAGATGTACCTATGATATTCGACGTACATCTCGAGGTAACTATACGCCAAGGCCTCCCTCTTTTTCATTTCTTGCCGGGTAAAATACGTACATACACATCTCTGACAATGGGTATGGGGTGACCGGGACCGGGGCCGGGACAGGGAGCATCAGTGTCTGCCTACTTACCTGTCCACCTGCCTGTAGCGTTGCAAGTCCTAGTGCTAGGCAGGAAAGAGTTGTAGCCTCTTAGGTCCTAGCAAAAATAGGGTTCTTTTGTACATGGCTTTAGTCTTATTATATTCTTCCTCTATCCTAGCATCTACCTATACAAGCGAGCAGACATTCGTAATAGCAGCATTGTGTCCGCAAAGGGTTGAAGATCTGCTTCATAGGAATTGGGGTGGTAGAGTGTGGGCGCCTCAGATGCCCTTATCTTATAGCGTCGTCATTAAACCACGAAGTAGCACAACTGACTCCTGACCTGTCCTTGTACCCCATCCATCTGTCTGCTAGTCTGCTCACTCGTCCATACGGGTAGCTTAATAAAGCTAGGTCTGGTGGCCATGATCCTCCCCTATGCTTCCTAGGTCCGTAGGTGACCTGCGTGCCTGTCTAGAAACAACAATGGTATCAATCCCGTATCTACAGACCCCTTATCCGAGTCCTAGCCACCAAGGCAAAGAAAATACAGCGCAAAATTCGTGGCACATCCGACCGAACCACTTCCTCGCAAAGTAAAGGGTTGTCCTAAATGGCTGTCGTACTAATAAACTGCCGCGGCATGTCCCGTAACCAAGTTTCGTTTAGAATCTTGTGGTATTGCGAGTAGGATCCTGTTGCGTACCTAAGGTATTAAAGGTAGTAGACGGGTGCCAAGAGGAACCAAGTGCAAATTCTTCGTAAGTGTATAGAGTTAAGTAATCCAAACTGAGGTGGAATTGCTATCGAATTCGTGATATAGCATTGTGATATAAATTCCTCCCGGCACGTAGCCTTTGGACCATGTGGATGGAAAAAATCAATCTCAATGTTTGGGTGTATAATTATGTGAGCGGCCAAGAACCCGATACCGCAGCAGTAAGCCATGTGCAGAACTGGCGAAAGTGTCGGGTGTGTGGTGGTATATAAAAAAGTAATGGTCGCTCCGTCATAAAAATTAGAGAATCCAACGCCGCCGTATATGTGATGTCGTGAAAATTCGTCATCCATGCCGTAGAGAGTTTAGCCGAGCCATTGTTCACAATAAACCGGTCCAGCCATTCGCTCCTTAGGTCAGACACGATTAGTCGAAGCCAGAAAACCTCCATGCAGAATCCAAGCGAGAGCGCTTGAGCAGATGCGTAAATCGGGAATCCCAGAACTGTGTCGTAAATAGTACCTAGTACAGACGTACATACCAGAATCCTTCGGGGTAAAATAAGATTAGAGACTCATAGTCAACCACTCCCATTCTTGAGGGCCGTTTCCAGATCCGGAGTTCATTACACCAGTAGAGCCCCCGGACATTCCGGTCATGCTGTGTCCCATCATCGGTCTTTGAGACATGCCAAAACCGTTGGCAAGACCCAGGTTTCCTGGGTTCGACATGCTAGTGAATCCGCTCGAAGAACTAATGGAACGAGCTGCTTCATTCGAGCCTGTCGAATTCTCAGGGCTGTCGACATCCATACCGTTAGATGACTCATTTGGCCCAGTGCTTTTACTACTACGGCGCTGACGCTTGGAAGAACCGTTGGCGCCGATATTTCGCGGGAGTGAGGCGGCACCCGGTCCTGGTGCATTCTTTGGTGGAGCTGCTGCAATTGGCACAACACCTTTGCCGCCCACCGCACCAGTAGCAGAGCCCGCATAACTAGTTGGCGTACTTCCTGCCGTGTTACCACCGGAACCGCCAGCGCCGCTTGCAGGACTTTCGCCCTCGTTGACGCTGCCGGCTCTGTTTGTCACCGATGGTGGCGTAGTCACCTGCGTTGCGCTGTTCGTGGCAGAGATAGCTAACGTCGAATTTTTTCGGGAGGCGGGTCCAGAGGCAGTCCCTGCCGCGTTGCCAGTATTCTTCTTAGATCTCGTGCTCGTTCCGCCAACAGGAAGGCTCGTGCCAGATCCACGGTTGCGTTTCTTAATAACGTCGGTCTTTAGACTTAGAGGCCTCACGACTCCGTGGAGCTTCAAAAACAGACCGCAAGCGTTACACAGGGGCTGGCCTTCTGGGTTTCGACGCCACAGCGGTGTAGTTTGTGTAAAACAGTTAGTACAAGTAGTAGGCGTGCTTCCATCTCCCTGCCCTCCCGCGGCAGCTTGCAGGTTGCTCGTGGACCCGTGTTTGGAACCAGGCGGGGAAGTAGGTCGACTGGGTGCCACGGAAGAGAAGCCCGAGACATTACCTGACACGTCTGCTGGCGGAGAATTCGGGTTCGACTGAGCTAATTTGTCGAACGGATTCCCACGGCCACCCATGTTGGCGTTTGGCGTCGAAGCTGTACGAGGGATCTTCTGACGCCTGTCGCTGGCCGATCGAAACGACTGGGACCGCGGTAGGCTGCCTTGGCCGTCCCAATCACCCGATTCTAAATAATCCGTTGTCGTGCCTCCGATAGTGACTTGCTTTCGAGGCGGTCCACCAGGATAACGAGCTGCTTGTGTGCTAAATTGACCAGGCAAAGAAGCATCCCATCCCATAGAATTTTGATTGCCCATGTCCATCCCTGATTCGTTTTCAGGTGAAAATTGAATACCCATGTTACGATCAGCGAACGCACCACCCTCCTCATCTTCGTTATCGGAATCAGCACCGAAGTTAAACATATTCTCATGTGCCATGCCAACACCTGGAGAACGAACTGGGTGGTCCGGCTGAAAGACTTGGCTTGGATCGACATGACCGAAATTAAGGGTTTGCGTAAACGAGGCATTTGAATCTGCTCCGGTAGTGGTTGGTGGAAACATAGAGTTACCGTTATGTTGGTGCATAAATTGCTGGTTCATCTGACCCCTCATAGACCCCGCCGGTCCTGGACGGAAGTTTGGTGCTCGTTGATGGCGCATATCCATCGACCCGAAAAACAAGTTCTCATTTTCTACCATAGGATGTGGTGTAGAAACAGCCGACTGATACGCAGATCCCGGTGGGGAATAGTAGTCTGCGCCATTGACTGAGTTGGACGCAACACCGTGAGGGTTATAGAAGTTTGAAAAGGGGCCGTGAGGAACCATTGGCGATGACGATGGCGAGAACGAAAACCCCTGCTGGAAAGGTCCTGCTGAAGTAATGATAGGGTCGTTCTCCACGGGGAAGGTGTCAAGAGGAAAGGGAACACTTGGATGGTGAGGTATATGGGTATTGCCGTTTGTATGAGAGTTGTCTAAGGAGTATTCGTGGAGATCAGAATCGGCATCCATCTCGTTAGAGACATAATTATTGCTGTTAAGAGCAGAGACGTGAGGGGAAAAATTAGCAGGACGCTTCAAGTTTCGAGTCTATCACATTATCATTAGCTCTCTCTATATATTTGCCGCACGAGAATAGGAATTCCGCAGTAAATCAAGGTGAGAAGTAAAGGGATTGGGTATTATGTTTTGTTTTAGTACAGCAAACAAAGGCGCCTCAGCTTTACTCACTCGTCTCTCGTCGATACTGGTTTTCCGATGGTGCCGAGTGACGTAGGCAAACTCATCCTGATTTCTCTGATGAGCAGGGACAGGAACCGACTGGGGGACGAAATGCTGCGAGGGTGTTTTGCGGGATTTGATAGGGATAGCAGCGGCCGTGGTGTGAGCCACCTTCTCCGCCTCTTGTTTGCTCGCGTCTGGAGAAGGCGTCGCTGTGAATCCGGCCGGAGTCGCGACGCCCTCGGAAAATATAAAATCGTCAAGATTCATGGGATCCGTATGTACAACGTTCTGATCTGACGTCTTTCGAAGTTGTGCGATACCACTGGGAGCATTGGCAATGTTCATCGCGGTGTTGTCGGTCTCGTAAGAAGCGGTGCGACTGTAGAGACTGTTAGAGTCGCGATGCGCCTACACAACACTATACAACAACCAACATACCGAGCATCTTCCCGCCGTATTTTCTGTAGATTCAAGTGCATCATGCGCCACGTTAAATTTTCCATGCGCTCCTGGTTGGGTAAGCTCTGCTTCGTGTTACGAAAGAACCTCCAAACTTGCGTTGCGAGCGGATCGTCTCGCTGCAGCTGCTCTAAACTCTCGTCGTTTCCGGTTGTTCCATTCTGAAGACTCGGGGATGTCGAGGATTGTAGAAAATCGAATATTGTCGGGTGGGTGTCTGGTTTTGTAAAATCTAAGTTAAGCTCATGTATGCGCAAGTCACCAGGACTGCTCTCGTCGGTATTCCTCTTACTCGTCTGGGCCGATTCGGCGGCCGACTCAAAGGGCCTTCGCGGGAAGCGAAAGTCATGCTCTGTCGTGGTGGGATTCATGGCTGTCGAGGGACTCGAGGTCGCTATAGGCGACACTGTGCTGGCGGCCATGTCGTAGAGGGGCCGAAAAGGGAAGAAAAAAAAGAAATTCGGGTCGAGGATTCTGTTTCTTTTTTTTGTACGGGGTCGTTGGAGAAGTGATTTCGTACGTATTACGGATCACTTTCCAAGTTTCCCCACGTTCCAAGGTTTGGACTGTCAGCCCAAGTTCCTTCACAAGCCGAACACTATATCCTAAAGTTTGTGCCCCCGGGTCCTAGCGCCTTTGAGGATAGCGAACAGAGATAAAATGGAAACGGTAGAAGCCCAGCGCTAAACTTGCAGGTTGAGGGCGCAATTAGTTATTTTTTTTTTCTCTCCCTTCCTAGCTAGCTCGTTCGACCTCTCTCGTCCTTGTAAGATTGGAGAAGCGTGAAGTATAGCACCTCCCGGTAGAGGTTTGTGGAGGGCGGAGGAGTGGTAGTAAGAGCGACAGCTACTACAGCAGAGCAAAGCAACGACAACAATAGCAACTCGGGCAGTTCACTGTCGCATTGCCCTTTACAATTCCACAGAGCGGGTTGGGTGGATTGGATGGTCACTCATCAGGCAGTTTGGTTCGGCTTTGCCTAGGTGACATGGGTGTGGGTGCACCCTCAGACTTTGTAATGGAGGTGGATGCAAGTGCAAATGCAGATGCTGGTAATTCCTTGAACGAAGGGGGGGACCACACTTGGACAGGCAGGACAGGTAGGGCCTGGGTTTTTCTCTCTCGTTGCAGCAGCAGAATACAGCAGAGCTACTACTGGGCTAGGCTAGGCTTGGAATGATTCCGGTGCTAGCATCCATGGGACCCGGCGATCCACGGTTCCAGCGACCCCAGTGGGCAACGGGTGCTTCTGCGGCTTTGTTGTGTTAGGAAGGCTTGGGAGGGCTTGGGAGGGCTTGGGATTGATGATTCTTGATGGCTGATCCTGGACCAATCCCACAAGGACAATTGGAGCTCGAGGGATTCCTTCGACTACCTCCGCACATAAGACCCCAAAAGCTCTTATGCAGCCGAAGCGAGTTCTGACGAGGGGTGGATCTGCACCGAAATTAAAAAGAAGAAGAGACCTCGACTAGTGGGGGTATTATTTGAAGGTGGTTACTATTTCAAGTATTTCAAGTCTTTGCGTTTGAAAACTCTCTCCTGTGATTTATTAATTACGATGGTTATGATATGTTATAATTCTTGATGTCTATATTCCGGATCAGGCGTGGGGTCTTGGGGGGAGTTGTAGAAAGTCTGCATTTAGACGATTTGAGAGACATTGTCGAGTTACATTGCTGCATAGAAAAGCTTGCCCAGGTGGTTATGGGTTATGCGACAAGGTTAGGCGATTACATATGTTAGGTACATAGGTACCTATGTACATATCTGTAGGGTACCAACAGGTACGTATGTACGGATTATATGTGGGTATTTAAAGTGCTGTACACTACTGTGGTACCAGGCATACCCTTACACAGGGCTCTATCCAAATATATTAGTAGCCCTACATGTACCCCAAGTACCAATACTAACATTAAGACAGATCAAGTTGGTGCAATTACCCGCACGTAAAGGACTGCCCATTAACTGATGACACGAGTAACGAGGGCCACTACGTACATGTAGAGGTATATTAGGTATGTAAGAATTGTAAAAATAATGCTAGTTATACGCCGGGGGAAACATACAGGCAAAATTGAAGAAGAAAAAAAAAAAAAAAGAATTGTGACCGTGACTTGTGCGTCGGTCCATGGAAAGATCCCCAAGCCATGATTTTCCGTATTGTACATCCCGGCCGTGCTAGGTACAATTATGTTACATTTAGCAGCTGCAGTGCTGCGTCAAGGTATTCGCCGCGTA